GTTTGGTGGAGGGTAGAAAGACGGAGGATTGCCGTGTAGACTGAGGCTCAATCACTGTGATCACTCATTTCATTTACAATATCGTACTATTACATCTAATCTTTGATCGTTCTTTACCTTCTGATGGAAATTCCAAGAATACTCCACACATCCATTTCACTAATATTGGCATGTACTGGTACATTTATGTACCTGGTGTTGACAGGGTTTTTGGTCAGGAGTAGAATCACAAGCATTAATGGCCTAAACCCCAGAGGATTAAAATATATGTAGTACATAAAAAATGATCTACTGCTTGAGTAAACAGCAGTATAATGCTGGCTGGGACACTACCAGTAAGTTCAGTTCTTTTTTTTGTTCTGGATCTCAGACACATAAAAATGTAGCCAGATGGTAAATTTACTGAATATCCAGCGACTTTCTAACAAACGATGTTTGCATAGGTTTTGCCCACTGCTGGAATTCTGTGAAAATAATGACTCACAGCAAGCTCAATTCAGGGTTATACTAACAAAAAATAGCAAAGCCTACATGAATATACTGCAGCAGTCTTTACAGTATTCTTATGAGGTGTGGAAACAGCTGTACATGTATGTACATGTACATGTATGTCTGAAGGTCAAACATATGTTAGAAATGTGACAACTGCTGACAAAAATTTTGAAATTCAAACATAAATGAACAGTAGTATTCATGAACGATGGAATACATGATGAAATACATGTGCAAGAGTGCACTAAAATATATGTGCTGTGCACAATGTTGATACTTGGGTAATTCCAGAAATTTGGGGTCCAAAAGTGTGACATTTTGGTGTCCCTGTTACATCTGACTTTTTGTTATTTGACATGGAAATGTCACCGGAATTGATTTGAAACTATTACCATTTGTTTGGCAGGTACACGTAATTTGCATTAATTCATCACTCTTGGAAATTAGAAAATATGTTCTGAACTTACAAAATCATACATCAGATGTGACAGGGACACACACAAAAATGGACCCCTAATTTCTGGAATTACCCACGTGTAAATTTATGCCAATGCATGTATAACAATTAATAACACTATACAATGTACATGTACATGTATATCTACATGTACATCTACATGTATCTGTGGTATAGCTGGATGTTTTATCCATTGGTATCTTTCATAGTACAAGTGCAATAGCACATATTACTCAGACCATGTGGTACACGTACATGTGCATGTACATACCTCCTATTCAAGTAAGCTTATATGCCAGGACACAGCAGACGTGCATAATGATCCGACAGATGTTTTTCTCTCAAACTGCAGTGGAGCAAGCACAATTTCCCTGTCGCACTTCACAGCATGGAGTAACTCCAGATATATGTACGATGCGAATCCACTTTATTATGAGCATGAACACACTTTGTCATGAATATGTACGCTGAGGAGTAGACAACTTAACAAATGTATTGGTTCATGTAGGATTAACCAGCTAATAGGCTGAGCAAATAACGTCTACAGGTGCCTCAATCCATTTATGCAGAATACAAAATCCACAGGTGGTGTCTGGTGAATTACGGTCAACCAATGAAAGTTATCTTTAACTGGATACAGTAAAAACTACATGTATTGCCGTGCGCAATGCCCCCAAACAACAATTTTACTCTGCAGAAGTTATCTGCCTGAACACTGGTAGCTGGTGGTGGGTTTTTGTATACGTGTTAAGACCAGTTACTTTGAATCTTGCTTTGTTAAAAGGGGATGAGTCAGATTTCTGCGGTCAGACAGGTCCAAAAGAGTCCATCAACTGTTCACCGTACTTCATTCTCTGAGCCATTAGACCAACAAATCCAGGCATATGACCAAGCCCTTATTCCAAGCCAAACTTGTAAATAATTTCCTGGTGTCAAACTCTTTCACAAGCCACAGATGGTACTGAGATCACAGGTGTTTGCTTGTTGTACACAATGTAAACAGCTCTCCCTGACAGCAAGTTTTACATGCATCACCTGGTTATGATCTGACAGATGAATGGGAGGATGGGTGTCTCCAGCAAATACTGGCCTCATGCAGGTAAATACCACCTCATATCCTCACCCAGAGTGCACACAGCCGACAGTGGTATAATCCGGACAAGCTTCTCAGGGGAATAGTTAATCCTGGTACACAACACAAACCACAGTCCTCCTGCTTTGCACGAACACACAGGGCATAAAAGGTCTGGCCTAGCCTACTACCACAGAAACCAACCATCCGGTAGCACTGAGGCCGTTACATGTGAACGACACTTCTATGATTCAAATGAAGTTTCACACATGACTGGGTCCCGTCCTCGACTGGACTTCTGAAGTGCATCCAACTCTTGTGATGTCATTTGGCACGGCACACTTGGCGGGCCGATGAAATTTGACTGGAGAGGGAAATTTCGACCTCGGTGACTGAGTCTCACTGCAGGGGTGGTACAATTTGGTAGTCTTATGCCAACTGTTCTTAGCAAGGTGGTGACAGGTGAGGTCATGGGCTGTAAAGCTGGGCATGGACTGAATGGCCTGATGATACCGCCAAGGATCAATAAATTAATGATTTTTGTCTCTCACCTCTTTCATGTGTACTGCACTCCCCTCAATATTTTCTTTGAAGCCAATGGGATTTGAATATGTGCACAATATTGTTATAGCTGCATAAGGAACACTGTGTACATGTACGACTACAGTACATGTACACGTATGTCCAGGCCGGTAAGACAAGAAGAGAGATTGCTACAGAACCAACAAACACTAACAGTTTCACTTCGACAACATGTTCAGATTGTATTGCTTGTTACTGTACCAGCAACAATAAAACAACTATCTGAAGTGCATGAGTCATTTATAGACTTGTAGGCACTTTATTATGTTCAAAGCTTGACAAACCAAAATCAATATTTCACCAGTGCACTGACCAAGTACCGGTACGGGGCATTTTTAAAACTGGTGAATACTGTTTGGGGGAACAATGCGAGTTGGGAGTGCACTGTCATGATCAATTTCTGTGACACAAAAAGAAATATCTGCATTTGTGCCAACTGTCTATGAACTCATGCAATGCACCAGGGTGGTACATGTTGGAAGGGGGGAGGGGGAGGGAGTGGGGGTCAAAACCCTGAGCGATACAAAGGCAATAAATGAGTTTATTGGCGCCAAATGATAAGGGGACAAGACCCACCGGGGCAACGCTTCTCAGAATGACCACATTACACGCGTCTGTTCACTGTGACTTGACCAGGTTGCTGAGCACCCCTCAAGTGACTACCCAAGTATTCTATTTGCCTTCCCTTAACGGGCAAACAAACTGTTCACCTGTTTATCAGTTATTGATAAGTGAAACAACTGTGTGGATACAGACCTAGACACCAGTCTCAAAACTTGGCACAGGTGTAATTATTCTGTTTACTCAGTAAGTTTCAAAAAAGGTTTCTTGTCAGTATGTAGGACCTCTTACGGTAGGAATTCATGGCACATGGTTCTCTGAATCTTTCTGCTAATAAAACATTTTCCTTTTCAACTTAGGTGATTAATCCAAAAAAGGAAAAATGTTTAAGGTGGCTGGGGCAAGTGGCATGACGAAAAAAACTAACTTGCTGGACAGTTTCCTACAAACTCAATCGTAGTAACAATGTAAAATAAAGTCTTTCACAAACAATTTCTTGTAAAAATCAAAGCTGTCATGCGTATCGGTAGTTACACTGTAGAAGGTTTCTGTTAAGAAATCCAAATACAGTACATGTAGGCGTACTTATGTACAACTCTGCTCTACAGCTTGCAAAAGCAGAAAAGTACATGTACATGTACCTTGGGAAGCAGAAATGTATGTACATGTCCATTACAAGCCTGGAGTGGAAGGTGATCGTGAAAGGGGTGACACAACACTTCCAAGAAGAAACCAAGTTCACACTGGTTAATGTTTTTATTCATTTATAAGAATGCAAAGATTGCAATGTAGTTTGGCCATTTTCAAACAGATTTCGCCTTTTTAAAAAAATATGAAACACTTTTTGAAGTCAACAAGTTGAGTTTTGGTTTCAATGACCAACTGCAACTCTCAGAGAGCACTTCCCTTAATAGAGATCACCAAGACCGGGTTTATACTCAGCCCACGATATACATATACATATGGATTACACAGCAAGGGGTGCCCGCATGGGGTCAATGATTGAGCACAGGTCATTCTCTATCTGTGCCCTTAGATGACCTCCCATCACTGAGATTGGCTCCTCACCTACAATCTCTCAAACTTTAGCTAAAAACCCTTGTTGTGAGACTGATGTCTTATGGTTTTGACCTCCCTAACTATACTCGTAGATGTATTTTTGTAATACTTTTTACATTGCAATGGTCACTAGTATGAAACTGTGCCTTTCTATTTAGCACTTCTACTTAATATTGAAACCAGTCTGTACCAACCAGAATATAGATACATGCTCACTTCTTCTTTTAAATGCTTTTTCCAAAAATACTGTGCTGAAAAGATCTGTTTTAAAATCACGGGCAACCATTTAAACTTTTTAATTTTAAGAACAAACTCTTGAAATGGCCAACTGTATTAAAGTACAAAAGACAGAGAAATAAGATCAAGTTTTGAAGCTTTACTCCAAAAGGCTTGAATTTAGCCTTCTCGGTTCTCCTGTTTAAGGCAATCTGGTTGGCTTTCCTGAGAAATTACTCACAGGTCATCAATGCCTGTCATCAGATGGGGAAAGTCCAAACACCTATAATCTTTGGGTTACAATTAAAAACGCTCCTCACAACTTCAATTACCAGCAACATCACTACTGGGTGGAACATTATTGTGCACACATAAAGTGTTCAAGGTGTTTTATCACATGTTGTCATGTACCACTGCTTGAAATTATTACAGCAGTCTTTTCCATATTAGTCTCTGGACTCTGATGTAAACTTCCTGATGTTCCCCCAAATTACCGGTTTAATCCATTTGTCCTAATGCCTAAGGTAAAGAAAAATGCAAGGGAGAGATGTGGTTACTCACCGTTTCTTAGTGATGTCCAATGGTGGAAGCTCTTTTTTCTTGACGGTTCTGATCTCCACAGCCGGTGGGCTGGGAGTGACTGTCGGGATAGGGGTTGATCTGGCCCTGGCTCGAACCTCTGTGTCCGAGTCAGAGCTGGAGTAGCCTTCTGCTCTCAGATTGGTCTGTCACAGAAGCAGACATATGGGACCTCATGACAGAATGCCCTGCTTAATTACGGGAGACCCATTTCAGAGTTGCACAGCAACACAATCTGGTTGAGTGCCATTTTGGCACTGTTGTCCCCCCCAAAAAAAAGAAAACAGTGGAGATGTACATGCAAGCCAATAATGATCGTGCACAATTTATGACGATACGGTAATAAAAGTGACTCAAGACCTCAACAGTGATTCTGGCAAAGGCCTTCAGTTTATGGCTTGTGCATCACCGCTCATTGGATAAGTACCAAGTCGGTAATGATTGTGCACAATTTATCTCAATATGGCAATAAGCAAAGGCAGAATTGAAATTTGGTGCTGACGTACAGACCTCCTTATCATGACGTTTACATGACCATACAAGGCTTGCATTCCGCCACCCGTCATAACTTTCCCTCGCAGCCTAGTATTACTTTTATCCGCTTAACCATGCGTCGGTCTTTACACCAGAATCCTTTTAGCTCTAATTAGGAGCCCTGTGACATATATCTAACCACTCGACCGTGTGTTTTTGTCTCTAGTGTTTCCACAGCCAAAGTATATAATGTGATTCACGCTGCCCGCGGCAGATTTGGGGAGGTCAGCATACAGCAGGGATGTTATAATCCCCTCAGTGTGTTACACTTCCTGTAGTTAAGTTCACTGGGTGGGAGGGGGAGCCTCAAACAAATGCCCTGCCAAGGAACTGATGCTAGACGCCAGGGACTGCTAAATCTGAACAGTCTGATGGAGAGGGACGGTAAACACTCTAAATATGAGGGATTTTTTTCACGAGAAAAAAAGACAATGTGACATCGGAATCCAGTTTGATAAACAGTTTGAATGAGCAGACAATATTGCTTGGCAACTTTAAGAGCTCAGTGCTTTTCAGCTGGCAACCAACCACTAGAGGCACTGGGGGGGTGTGCCATTTTGGCCAGTGACCTGTTTTTCCTTGGCCAATGTTTTCTGTGCTTAGCAGATTTATTTTCATGGTGAGCTGCTCCATGGCCTTGAGCCCAGTACTTTTCTAAAGTTGCATACCAAAATCCTGCACCATGTACATGTCCATCAATGGGAATTTGGACCATTTTTCAACCATATATTGTCCATTGTCATAAGAATGCCAAAATGGGTGCACGGATGAATCCACAAACTAAAACAGATTTACCAAAAACATGGCCTTAAGACTCAGTATATGGTATCTGATCACATTTGCACTGCTGTTAAGCCCAACATTCATTTCTCCACTTTGAGGCAACAGGGTCATTCTATAAATTTAAGGTCCCACGTGTGACCTTTTACACCTGATCTTAGTAATTTGACAAGGGATGCATCATTGAAATTGATTTCAAACTACCGGTATTCTATTTGTTTGGTTGGTCATCCATATTACTTAATTACTCTTGGAAAGTGAGGAATTTGTTCCAAACTTACAAAAACCACAGACCGGATGTAACATTGAGTCAGGGACAGGAAAATTTGGACCAAAAGTTTACAGAATGAATCAAAAGGATCGGTCCTGAAACTGAGAATGCAACAAAACCCTGTCTAAACCTACTGGTACCACATACATGTGAGGATCACTGAAACACATGCACATCAGCACATCTGTTTTCACAGATATGAAGACCTGATTGTAGAAGGGTGCTGAACTGTACTGTGTACATGAATGTAATGTCAAAACTGCCAACGTGTTCGAGGGCTCTACAAATGAATTTGAAGCAGATTGCTCTCATGGAGAAAAATAATTTAAATTGTCGAAGTAAGCATAATATAATTTTTATCAAGTTTGGTTTGGGATTCCCGTAAGAATTGTCAGGAAAATTCTTAATCTTCATCTGAAATTTCAGCCTGGACTGCAAATATCTGGTTGAGCAAATACTGTAGCAATTAACATTTCCTTTTCAATGATCACTGCGAACAATGTGAACTCATCATCGGATTGAGATAGCAGTATGACATGTAATGGAAAAGATTTTTTAAAAGATCTTTATTAAAAGATCAAATGAGGCGGGTTATAAGTAATTACCTTCCTTTACTGCGTGTATTTCTGCAAACAAAGAGAAACAGGCTACTAAAATGAAGGGAACATTAGTCCGTATCTTTACCTTGAAATGTTATGATTTTACTGTGTACAGAAATAAGGACCTGTATAAGTTCCCCTCGTTGAAGAATAAGATCTGAAGGTTTGCACAGTGAGTATACGTAGGGCAAGTGGTTTGCAGTGACACCATGTCTCCGGATGGACAGAACACATTGTCTGAAATGTTAAGTAAACCAGCTCCTTTCAGAGCCACGCATGCTCACAAAAGAGATCTTTCAAGCTTCACGGTGTCACCGCAAACCACTTGCCTTTCATCAAAGAAGACATTGCAGATCAAGATGCATGATCTTGATGATCAAGACATGCATAACTGTGCTCTGTGAGTGGTTAGGTTTTTGGTTTTGCTGAGGGGGCAAGCCTTCTGGGAGTACGACTTGTTTCAGCCCAAAAGTCTGTACCGGATTACCGGTAGATACTCAGACAGCGTGTCCAGTGAGAAGTGTGTCTTGTTGGAATGACTGAAACAGGTAAACAACCATGCATTGTTTGAAAACTAAATAAGTCCAGATTGTCAAGGATGAATTGACCTCACCTTTGCCTTCCGGAGGCGAAGCTGCTCAGTGGCCAATCCACTTTTCCTCTTGACTGGGTCGTCGGTCCCACTGTCTACGTCGGCATCTTGAGAATCGCCCTTCTTCAGTGCAGCTTTTCTTGGACTATCCTTCAGCACAGAGGGCTTGGCAGACTCACTATCCAGGTCTGTGTCTTGAGAATCCTGCTTCTTCAGTGAGGATCTTCTCTGACTATCCTTTGGCAAAGGTGGCTTTGCAGACATACTGTCTACATCGGCATCCTGAGAATTGTCCTTCAGCGCAGATCTCCTCGGACTCTCCTTGGGCTTCACGGCATCCATCTGTCCTCCACCAGAAATGGTGTCTGGGCTCTTCCTCATGATGCACTGCAATGGGGGTTTGGTAGAGGTAGAATCCTTCTTGAGGATGGATTTTTCAACTCGATCCGAGTCCGTATCGTCCTTCTCTTGTCTGGAATCACGGCGAAGGATGCTCTTTGTCTCCTCTATGTCGCGACTCTGAGATTCAGCCCTGTCCTTGAGAATGCTCCTCACTTCAGGGTCTGAATGCACAGTGGCCGTATCATCGGATTTCAGTATGCTACGCCCCTTTTGTGGCTTGTCATGGCTAACTTCAGAATCTGACTTCAAAATGCCTTTAGGGGGCTCGTCAGAACTGGAGTCTGCCTTCTCAAAAGATGGCTCTTTAAGAATGCCCTTTTTCTCCAGAGAGCTTGCTTCTGAACCAACGCTTGCCGGATGCATCTCCTCTTTCAAAGAGGTCCTTCTTTCTAGCCTCTCTGATGAACCGTACACAAGAGCAATTTGCTCTGAGAGAGGCAAGCCAGTGATCTCGTCTGGAGGCCTTGTGAAGCTGCGCACAAGAGGGGATATCCCTGTGGCCTTTTTCACCTCATCACTTGTCACAGGTTGGGTCTTAAACCTGGAGTCTGTGCGCCGCTTTCGTTTTGGGGCTTCCACCTTGGGTGGGGGCCTGTCTATCTCAGCCTTCTTGTGGAACAGTTTCATCTTTTCGGCAAGACTCAATCGGGATGCGTCGTCTTCATCGACTTCCGCCTCCTTGGCTTCTGTCCCTGCAGAGGTGCCATCACTGGCACTTAAGTTAGCTAATGTTGTCGCTGAGCTAAATTCCTCCGGGGTGACTGGCTGAGTTTGGGAGCGCTCACTGTGGCGTACACGGTGAAAGCGCCTGCGTGGCTTGGCCTTTTCTGCCTCTTCATCTTTCTGTTTGGAGATCTGCGTGAACATCTGCTTCTTTTCAGAAACAGTCAATTTGGCCAACTCATCTGATTCAGTCTCTGCTTCACTCGATCTCTCAGTCGGCCTCATAGTGGGACTTTTGAATAAAAAGGAAATGTCAGTTATTAATAATTCGATGACAATTCATGGAAAAACAGAAATGACACAATCTATGTAAGATACTGCATGTGGCTTGTACAAGAAAAGCCCTTCCATTTTTGTGTGCGATATCGAGTCCCAAATAATCACAAACAATGTTATATTTACATAACAAACAGTGCATGGAATTTTTATATTTGGGGGAATTTCCCACTACAACACTAAAAGATTATTCTTACATGGTGCGACTTTTAACAACAGTCTTTAAAAATCTCTTTCACAGGTGGTTTTAGAAGTGCGACGAGGGAAAAACCCAATTCCTCTTTGTAAAACTAAATCTTTCTGATCAACAAAGCGTCCCTTCACATATATGTAAACAAAACAAACTTTGAGGAGCACCAGCAGAAAAATTATTTCAGCTGCGTCCTCTTTAAGAGCAGCCTTACCTTTGGGACTCTGCCTCTGCAGGTTCCACTTTGATCTGCGAAGATCTCCTTGGTGATTTAGGTGATTTGGGAGACCCTGGCGAGGTTGGAGGCATCGGTGGCTTTACGTCCAATTTCTCTGCACTCTTGAAGACTTGCAGTCGTTGGGCGACAGGCACTTTGATAACATCTTCCGGTTTCTGGTCCTGATCTTTGGAAACATCCTCCTGCTTACCTTGTAACTCCTCCTCTTCATCACTGTCCTTCAGACTCAGGGCACGAGCCCTCATCACTGCCATCAGTTCATTATCCTTAGTTGCCAGGGCAACCTTCTTGACGTCAGTTGGCTCGGAAGTTTCTGGAGACTTTCTGCTTTTGAACGAAGTTTGGTGTTTCACAGCATTGCCCTTTGTTTCTGATGAGCTACTTTTACCCTGCATTTTGCTTGCGACTTTGGGGGTGTCCTTGACTGGTTTAGCTTGCTTTGAAGCCTCAACTTTAGGCGTTTGTTTAGCACCAACCTTGGTTTTAACTGGAGGAGGCACTTTCTCTTTGGACATGGGTGGCTTCTGTGCAGTTTTAGGCATTATAATTACCTCTTTCGGTTCCTTTAGCTTAGGGCTGTCCCTTCCTTTATTTCTCTCTGCTACAACACCATTCTCTGACCTTAAGTGAATAGTAATATCTGTCCTAGCTTTGAATTTCTTCTCAGGGGAAGTTGGTGTTCTTCTCTCAGGTTTCTTGCAGTCTCCACCGTTGGGTGTAGTCTCCTTCTTTGTTTCCACTCTCCTTGGCTTGGCGAGTTCTTGAATCCGAGATGAAGGCTCGGGGATTTTTCGGTTTGGTTTGTGGACTGGCGACAAGGTCGGGGAGGAAGTGCGGGAGTCACTGTCCGAACCTTTGGCTTTGGCAAGTCGGTGAGTAGGAGACAGTGTCCCTTCACTCAAGGATGAGCTGCTCCCATTCGAGTCCCGTCTTTTTCTACCCTCATTCAGAACTTGAGGGATTTGTGGACGTTTAAGGTGCACTTTACTCGATGAACCCCCATCAGTGTCCATACTAGACACATACTGTGTTCGCTGAATTACTTTAGATGTCTTCTCAGGGGACCTGTTGGTTTTCTTCTCCGGTGATCTCCTTTCTTGTTGTGTCCTTTTTTTAGATTCCAACTTTTCTGGTGAAGTGACCCGAGGACTGGGTGACTTAAGAGCTTTTGACGAAACTACCTTTCCATCTTTGACTTTTGAAAAGTTTTCTGAAATATGTTTTGAAACTGCTGTGTCCCCAATGGCCGAGCCATTTTTGTGTCTAGTAGTGGGTCCCACTGAATCCACAGTGTATTGCTTACTGGTATCTGCACGAACTGAATCATCCGAAGGATCAGGGCCCACTCTGGGCGGGGACTTGGATACTTGTGCCTCAGTGGCAGGGGAGGCATTTTTCGGTTCAGGCTTGTCGACTTCTTGAGGTGAAGACACTGCTGGTGTGGCACTAACTGGCTCCTTCCTGACGGTGTCGCTGGAGTCAGAAGTGGAGGGAGAAGTTGGTGGCTGAGGGCTGCCGGTGAGGGACAGCTTCCGCTCCTGAAAAGACAAAGCGCAAATCCAACTTAGCACTTGTATCTACATGACATGAAGAAAAGGTCATTGTTTTTAAGGTTCCTTTCCTGTCTTGTATCCAGGATATCTTGAATACTTTTATTATAAATCTAATGTACTAAAAGCATGTGAAATCTTGAGATTATCTCTGTGTTAAGTACAAGAAGAAGTCTATATTTCTGAACGGGTTGAACAGGCCACAGAAAATAAATATACATATTTGACAGAAATATATTTTATTCTTTCAAGTAATATACATGTAACCCTAGGAGAATGCTTGCAAATATCAACTGTTAAAGAAATTACCTGCTTTCACAGAATCACAGGGTTTTAATAGGTTTGTATTTCTAGCATGTACAACATACATTATTTTATATATGTTGCATCATGGTATTGGACAATAAGCCTTTTGCGAATTAAATTTGAATAAAATCTGGTACAGAGTTTCCAGTGCCAACTTCTCATTGTCTGTTGTTTGGTTTTTATATCACATGTGTGTCTTTCCTATTTTGTTTTTAGTGCTGTGTGCTATTGGACTATTAATCATTCGGTGAGGAATTTGTAAATTAATATTATGAATTTTTAATGATTGTAATTGCTGGGCATCTATGGAAAACAGTACTTTAATACTGATAGGTCTTCCCAGGTTAAAGAATAAATAAATAAATACACCGAGTTCTTTAAATTCAAGTGAACATAACAATTTGATCTCTCCATACTAAAAGCACTGTTGCAATACTGGTACCTCATGATTGAGGGCAAGCTTTTGTTTTACTTTACATAAGAGACACCTTGCACCAGTTTACTGTTTTCAATGGGTAAGAAGGACGTAAAGTAACCAATCCATTCCATAGATAGTTGTCGCTAGGCAAAAGCTTGCTCTGAATCACCAGGTATAGCAACAGTGTCTTTACTTTGGGGAATTCAAATTATATTTGTGTGCAATCAGATAATTTAGTATATACCAGATTTTATTCAAATTTAACTCGCAAACGGCTTATTGAACAGTCCGTTTAATTACAAAGTAACCTTAGGTAAAACAGAACCCCCTTTGTTCCTTTAAATGAGGCTGATAGAGCAAAAACAAATCTGTAAACATATAAATCGTATAACAAGGCGAAATAATCAAGTGTACTTCTCCCCAGCACATGTAGGGCTTGAGTACTGCCCACGGCCGCCCACCAACACGATGAAAGCCTTAAGCTCCTTAGGGATATTTGACTTCCTCTGCCCACAGCCAAGTAGGAAGCTGGTGATGGAAAGTCACTGTGGGTGACAACTTGTCAACTCTGGAAGCCAAGCAAGTCCCTAGCCTTGAGGTGCTTATAATGTTGCCAGTCTGAATGAGTCTTGAGATTTGAGGTCAAGGTGATGAAGATTAACTTTGTGATTCATGATACGTACTGATGTGAATGTGGAGGTGTTATGTCAAAAGCAGTTACCAGTAGTGTACCATGGCAAAACCATGAAGGTGAACATACTTCAGCGAGTTTTCATGGAGAATGTTTTAGTTGAGTTTTCTTGTTTTGGTGAGATATTCACCACAGCAAAGCCACACCAAGCACCTGACATTACTTCCAGATTCATTGTTATAACAATTTTCTATTTGTGGATGAATGCCATTACACACACTCCGTGGTAAAAGTTCGAAACATTTCCATTATTGACAAATACAGTACTTCATCACCATGACGAGTTCCTCTCATGAAAAGAGCCCCATTTTTGCACATTCAGGGGAAAATTTCCTGTGTTCATTCTGAAGCCATTCCTAACTAGTCTTGCCTTGACTCTGAAGACCCAGCCCCCACAGAAAACAGCATCATATCCCATCTGTCCACATGGGGTACACAGTGCAGCAGGTGATTTGTCTTTTGGTAATACTGCATGTACACTTACATGCAAATGAATTATGAAGACCAGAAAAGGTCAACTATGAAGGATGTCAGGGCATGCGTCACTCGTATTTTAAATTGCCAGATTTAAACTGCATTTACATATACATGTGCAAAAAAAAAATTGAAGTGTTCTGTTTTCATACTTTTCAATGTACAGTGTCCTAATGGTGTAAATCAAAACTCCAATACTGACACACAAGTATCAAGTGGAATAGTTTTTGTTAATTTAGGCTAATTTAAATTGGAAGATGTTAGAGAGTGTTCCTAACATGTAAAAAAGCAGACCTTCAGTGTATTTTGTGAGTGTGAGGAAGATGTTAACACAAAAAAATCTGCCTCAAAACAAGCACACAAGAAGTGCAGAGAGACACAAATATAGGCAACACAAATTATGAACTCACCACCATTTTTTGCCCAATGGCACTGGCTTCTTTAATCTGGGCGGCTGTAATGTAGACATTCTGGCGCCGGCTCCGGGAGCGAGACTGCTTTGTGCTCACCCCTCTCTCTGGTGTCGGCTTGCTTTCTTCAGGTGCTGCAGGGCCTGCAACCCATCCAGAAACAATTCCTGAGAACTCAAAAGTCCGAAATCAGATATGTAGAGCAGGCAAATTCAGATTTGGAAGGAGGGGGGGAATTTTCAAAATTGAAAAACCTTTGGCATATGAAATTATCCAAATTACTGAACTGTTGACCAAATTGCTCACACGTTCCAAAAACACCAAGTCAGTTTATACTTCCTGGCAAAGTGTCATTTTGAGCTGACAGGATTTTTCCTTCCTGAGTTCAGCCTTGTTTCCAACCTGAGCACTACAACTTCTGAATGAGCCAAGAAAGCTGCATGAACTGCCCAGGATTTTGTAGATGTACCTTTACATTAGACTGCTTAATGAATAAGAAGGAAGAAAAAGTCACATTCCTAGTAGTCTCATTGACGGTGATGATTACACAATGTTCTCATTACTAGTTTTGTTTTTCTTTACCAACCTAAACATTCATTCTTCGTAACCTTTCACAATTCTGGGGTCTCGGTGGACCCTATCCAGTTCATACGTGTGACGTCACTTCAGAATAAACCATGCCCACTGCACAAGTGCACTGCACATAGGGTTACATGCACTGATCGCCGTTTACATGGAACCGGAAGTTAACATGCAACTTCAGCGATTGTCCAATGAGAGCCTGCAAATCGTGGCGCATCCGCCTTTGTGACGAAGTCACTTATGAACCGGATAGGAACCGGCACTACATGCCTACCGGTACTAGTTTGAGCACCTTCTTCAGCAAATGTTGCAACTGTATTCAATCTTTCTCCAAGCCTGCACATTCGTAAAAGTTTCTTCTCTCATGTTTTGCTCTAATTTTTGCTGCTCAAATGAGCAAATCTCCAGATGAGTTACAGCATCAACAATTTACTGATAAGAAAAATGCCATTTTGTGAAAAAACATACAACCCATTGAAGGCGCCGCTCCGTGGTGACCACCTGTGTGCGTATTTCTGTCTTGTCTTTGTTGTAGTTTTGTCAAGTTTTTAACTGGTTCTACTCAGTCTGCTTCTATTTTGTATGTGTGTGAGCTGTTATACGGGGTTCCAGGATCATGTTGAATCAACAACTTCTATTTTTTCATCATGTTTTGCTCAGCTTGCCGAGCTTCCTGTGAGTGCAGCTCATGAACGATTGTTGTCCATTGTGTATACATGAGAGTCATTGTTAAGACTGAGGTCAACGGTCTCAGCCACACCTAGTCTAAATTCGGACATTCCTTCTTAAGTCCGCTTGACTCAACATACATGTACATGAGGCAGGAAAGGTGGCATTCGAGCAACGTTTCAATCCGTCTCTACCCTCAATCATCACAGGTAACACACAGAGCCTACGAAATAAACCTGATAAATTGAAAGCCTGCACAAATTACTGCTAATTATGAGTTAAGAGACGGCTACTTAATGTGCAGGGAGACATGGTTCAAAGATACTGATGCCACTTACGATAAATGCACAGATTTTTTTTTATGTGAACGTATGGACAGGACCCCCAGGCTGGCAAATCAACGGGAGGTGCCGTATGTGTATACGTTATCAAGAACTGGTGTACCAATGTCTGTGTAGTGGACCAATTATGCTCACCTGACATTGGTCCCTGGACTTTAATATAATTCCTAGGATTTGGAAAACTTGTACTGTTATACCAAATCCTAAAATACCCTATCCATCAGTTTTAAATGACTTTAGACCTAATGCGCTCACATCCTTAATTATGAAATGTTTTGAAGGTTTAACTAAGGATATTATCCTAGTTCAGACTAAATATTTCACGGATCCTGTCCAGTTTGCCTATTGTTCCGGCAGAGGCATGGACGATGCCATTTTATTCTTGTGCATTACATTCATGAACATTTGGATAAATCTCACAACTACGTCAGAATTTAGTTTGTGGACTTTTCATCAGCTTGTAACACAATCCTACCGCACTTGCTGACAGAGAAATTGATAAAAATGTGTGTCAATCCTCCCATTTCATTGTAGATAAATAATTTTTTATCTGACCGTACTCAGACGGGTTCTATTTATAAATTCAGTCTCTTGATTTCTACTAGTACTGGAGCTCCACAAGGCTGCGTGCTGCCGACAATTACTCTCACTCTATTCTAGTGACTATAGAACCACTCATCCATCTTGCCCAATTATCAAATATGCTGATGACACCTCACTGACTGGTCTGATTTCTAGGAATGATGAATCTTTTTATCGCAAAGAGGTTGATAGTTTTGTTAAATGGTGTGACTTTAACTTTCAAAAACTTAACGTGTCAAAACCCAGGGAGATGGTACCCCGGTATTTGACTTCTGTAAGACAAAGACTAGCGTTGAGCCAATTTGTATTCATGGCACTAGGGCTGAAACTGTTCATGATTTTAAAGTACATGTATCTTGTTATTTCCATTGACAACAATTTGAACTGGAAAAACGATACTCAGAGATTTGTTGCTAAGGCAAACCAGAGATTTTATTTTATCCAGAAGCTCAAATCCTTCAGTTTTCATAATGACATTTTATTTCTCTTTTATCCAAAAGTTATTCAATCCATAATCTCCTTAGAGCTGTATTACTGTATGGTGTGGAAATTTGAGGGTCAATGGCATTCGAGAATTGGAATGTGTCACCAAAATCACTTCAACAACAATTGGTCTGGATGTAAAATATGTTCAAAGTATTTTTGAATCAGCAATTGTCTCCAAGCTTCGTGCAATAATGCAAGATCCTAAGCATCCCCATTGCACTTCAGTGGTCATCAACAGATCCGGAAGAATCCACACCCCATGTACCAACACAAAGCGTTTTAAAATGTCTTTTTGCCTAATGCTTGCCGCCTGTTTAACTCTGCATTTAAAAGATAAACTCTGCGCCTTCCTGGTTGGTGATCTCCACCCTGGTACCTTAAAACAGTTTTTATCTGTTTAATCTGTGCTTTTTATAAATGTCGTTTTATATTCATTGTAATGGCAATTCTTTTTCTTATGCTATTTTATTATATGTATACCTTTTTATGTATAATGCATACCAATTTTCATGTTTTTTTTAACGTGATGATGTAATAAAATGAAAATGAAGTGAAAAATGATACCCCAAAGCCAAATTAATGCACGTGTGCTGCCACTGAAGCTCTCCCTACGCACAATTGGATTTCCCGAAGTGGCCTTAGGGTGTCGTTTCTTTTCACTTACGATATGCACGTGCAGCTGTCAGCACTGCAGGATCCACCGGCTCGCTCTTTGACCTCAGTCTCTCTGCAGAAGCTACCGGCGATGAGCCTGGTGAATCAGAGTCACCGACAGGTGTTCTGGCAGCCCTCTCGTCTGTTTGAGCGAGGATGATCATGCAGTAAAAACACAATAAATACAAATTACTAGGTCAGCTCACCTGATAGCTGGCGTCCAATGCGTAGTTGAATTGTGAACCCCACGGGTGAGGCAGGTCTTTGGAGAACAAGCTGAGACATATGGCACAACGTTAATTCTGACTGAACGTCAGTTTGCCGCTGCCAAGGCTACTTTTAATGCTTCCAAGATACTCAGATGCCTTGCAACAATTCCTGCCCCAGCTGCAGGCCTGTCAAAAATCCGCCCTCCTCTTTGTTTTGGTTTTTTTTCAAGCTCAACCTAAGCGGAAAGCAAACCAGCTGGAAATTTCACATGATAATAGTTCTGACAGATTCACTGATTGACCTGAATGCTCGACCTCATCTGCTGAATAAACATGGTTTTCGGGGATTATAGAAATGTACCCCGGAGTCTCCCAAAGGAAGCACCGACAATGACTAACCAGCGGCACTTGGCACTTGCACTGTCGTGGAAAAGAAAACTGTATGTTCATGATGTTGGGGCCTTTCCATTTATAGGTACATGTAGTTGCGTGGCGTTTAATGGCCTACATATTACTGCATAAAATGAGTCAGTTTCCCAAGGTACGTCACTTTGGGGCCTTATATGGCATATCACACACCACCATCTTGCATGGATATGTGTGACAGAGATGGTATCAAGTTAACACTGCCCTCTAGAGGCCATATAAACTTCCTGAGTAGAGCCTTACATGTGTAGTATAAGGAGCGTGCAAATTAGAAGCCCGCTGTGAAACTGACATGAGGGTCAGCTAAACTTGACAAAGGTGTTCATAATCTGAACCTGATGTCATAGGGCTCCTACTCCCAAACATGTGCCTCAGCATCACCTCAGGACAGGTTTGGCCCTAGTTCAAATGTCAGTTGGGCACAAATTTGCACTTTCACACTGGACATGTACATTTTTGGCGCACAAATCTCTCTGACATTTCTCGCTGACCGACATCTACATGTAGGCACACAACATGTACATTTGCTTTAACAATCAATTCTCAGAATTTTATTTTTGCTCTATGACCATACAGGTGTTTGAGACTGAGACTTAGTAAATCACTGTGCCAACAAACACAATGAATACATTTCACATGCATTTCGTGTTTTCAGGCAAGACAGCTTTGAGTATACAGGTACGTGTTCTTTTATTGTAAAGACCAAAATGATCACCAATTTCCACCAGTCAAGCCAGTGCAGTACAGTTTTACACAAAGATTCCCAATTTAAAAGCTTCAAAATTCTTCAAATTTGCAGGCAAGTTTATAATGGATGCCAAATTACATTACAAAGGTCGGAACAGTGACACGATTTCTGATCCTAGCCTAGCTCTGATTCCAGCCTAGATCTGAGCAAATAAAAATAAACTGGACATCAAAATTTCCAAATGGCACCTTTAGTTTTGACAGGACTGATGAACACGTCTCCGTCCTCACTCGTGGTGCTTCCTTTCCTTGATCGGTGTCTGGCTATGATCCTCTCTGTTGCATCTGTTGACACATCAGACACTGACCTCCGCATCCTAAAACAGACCCAACAAATGTGAGTAATAAACATGTGTACGTTGGTTTCTACATTTACGCAATGTACGCAATTGGTCTACGAAGTCCCCCATAACTGGAGATCTGCTCATCCACGCATTCAACATTCACAAGAGAATTTGTAGAGTGCAAGCTGAACAGTACACTGTATGTACAAAATGATCACACCTGACAAGTCCTCCAAATAGACCGTATTCGGGGCGTCCCCAATGTCAGTCACATTCCTGAGCATACAGTATAAATTTGAAACCCTTAATGGGATGATACCAGGTGATTTGGGGGTTTGGAATGAAATCGTAGAATATACTGGTACATGTACATGTACATGTAGTCTGGTCCTTTGAATTTAACGTTTTCAAATAAATACAGCACACTACGCCGGGGAATATGACTGAAATTGGGTCGCCATGAATAGGGCCTATTGCTTCAGTTTTTCGAAACATACATGCCTCTTTCCAAACTTAGATAAGATAAAGGGGACAAAGATGGCCATCTTGTAAAAAATTACTTTACACTTTTAGGAAACACGCAGTATGATCCTTAAAGAGTTTGGACTTCAATAAAGCAGTTTAAAAAACAGTGAAATTCAACATGTTCTACACCGTTTACTGGCAATCACAGGGGAAGGAAATAATCCACAACACATAACATATAAACAGTGCCTAACAGAAGGACATTTGGACAATTTTTTTCACCCAAGTCACAAAAGGAACAGATGGCTTCTGCCAGGCAGCAGACAATATTCACAAAACCCAAAACAAAAACAGCACTATAAGAGAAAATTGCTAATAAATGAAAATTGGCAAACATACAGCGTACACTTATGGACATAAGTACCGGTGCAGCTGGGGCAAAAAGTTTACATACATTTACACTTGGTAGAAAAACAGTTTTCCTCAATTTTTTCTGTTTGAAATAGTTTTTGCCAACTTTCTCTCTTTTCTCAGACAAACTCTAATGGTACCTCAACTTAATGTTCGCAGTGTGCATTTTGGTTGAAAATACTTAGAAACATTTATTAAGGTTCAAAATATTAATATTTCTGAAAAATCACTCTGTGAAAATTTACATCTGCCCCTACATTATCATTCAAAAGCAGTTCAAGAAGTGGTCCACTGCGACAATGAGATGTGACACAAAATTCAGAATGTGGCACTAAATATTAAGGTTGGGGTACTGTATGTGAAATGTTGATTTTTTATATACATACATATACATGTATACTGTATGTCTCTTCATGTTTTTATTTGAGGCATACACCATGCACATTATGTAGCAACCCATCTTGTCTGTCCTCATGAAAAGAAAAGTTGGTAGGAATGATTTAAGTTGTGAAATTCAAGGAAAACTGGTTTTGTTCTGCCAGGTGTATGTAAAACTTTTTGCACCAACTGTATGTGTGAACATGGTGAATGTCAGCAAATCTGTCTACTTCCTGTCCAGCCAAAGAGACAAATGTAACGGTATATGCAGAACACTGCCGGAAAAAAAAATTGTTTATTCAAATTTTAGTTCCTTTTCTCAGTTTCTGTTAAAGGCTCATAAGACACACGTACTAGTTCATGCACCAATGAATTACACCAACACTGTACCACTGAAACAAAGGCAAATCTACGTATTCATATTGCCCACTGAAATTACATGTATTTATATACACAGTACAAGGGCACTGCAAGTATGTGTACATGGACTGGTAAATTCAGCAAGTATTGGATTAGCCAACACTGTGACAACTTCATCAATCCTAATTTTATGGGTTTACTTTTTCCTAAACCTGTGAACTACATGTATATGTACATGTAACTATAAATGCATGGTGTGTTCAATGCAGAGTTTTCTGCCGTACAGCAAAAAAATTCAGTGATCAATTTTTCTTAAACTTTGCTGCCTCATCAAATACTAAGTCCTACAGTAGAAACATCTATGATTCGGCTTTCATATTGTACCTTCAATATACACCAGAATAGCACCTCTTCATAATACAAATATTCAAGCCTTTGAAATCCTGTGAATGTCAAGCTGACCTTTCATCTTTGCATGACTGAATTTCAGTGGTAGAGGTTGATAAAAAATGCTGGACTATACACCACTTTAAGCAATACACAAAGGATATGACACCTGTGATTTTTATTTCACTAGCAGGATCTAATGATGACTCTTTGCCAGATTTGAGGAAATGCACATTCAACCAACGCTGAAATTCTGTAATGCGGAAATTACTGGATCTTTCTGATCAGTGACAAAGCCAATCTGTGTCCTTTAAACCTCAGTTGGCTTAGACACTGGCTGCAGAGTCAACAGAGTAAATTATCCCATGTTCACTGTGATTTCATGCTGATTTCTTTTTATAAAAATTGTTAAAGCAGGCCACAAGCCAAAAAAAGAATGCCAAGAAACTAACAGCAACATGTATTTGCATGCATATCAGTTTTTAAATGGCTCTATGTTAGTATATAATAGTGCATAACTGTACTACACTGTACCTCTCTCTACGTGCAGCCCGTGAGGCTTCCAGTGTGTCAACCAGCTGCTGTGTTTCTGCAGAGATGGTTGAGTCTTTTCGTACTCTGATACATGAAACACAGGGAAAGATTGCAAGTGGGTGCCTGCCGGCTACACAGAGAAAGCAAATGCAGAGTTCAGCACCCAACTACACTGGAAAGAATTCTACAGTCTAACGCACTGATTAGCTAATGTGCAAGCTACAGAGGGATTTCTTGGCACTGAATGGTCAGGATTAAAAATACAAGCATGAATAAATGAACCAGGGACTTGAACGATAAACGCTGATCAATAATCAAAATTACTGAACAGGTGCAGATGTACATGTAAATATACATAGAATACATGTGTGAACAGGTCTCTTTGGTACAGGTAGTTACATACATGTATGTACATGTGTACCTGTACATGTATACAGCCAACGCTGCATCTAATTTAGTATGGTTTTGAATGGACATTATTTTATAAATGTACTGCTTCAACAACTCATACATGTACCTTGTTTCAGAACATGCTGAACTGACGCTGTCTGAGTGTTGACTCTGTCCAACCCCAGCATCCTGTGGTGCATCCCTGCTGGGTGACTGGTATTCTTGCTCATGTGCTGGTGATCTCGTAACCACTGGCTCCTCAATGCTCTTTGGTGATCTTGGGCTGGACGGGAGAGAAGAGTCGTGGGAAGATTTCCTCCTGGAATCCCCTCTTTCCGTCGAACTGTCGTGGATGGGTATCCTGGTCTCTTCTGGCCTGGTCTTCCGGTCCCGCCTGTATCTCGCTAGGGAAGGGTCACTGTCACTGCTTGCAGCAGTGGTGCTGCCATCTTTGAGACCGTACTTACTGGCAAGTTCTTTTCTCCTCTGCTCTTTGTACTTGGCGATGCGTTCTCTTCTAGATTCAGGGTCCTCAGAAGAGTCAGAGCTACTCCGAGCACGCGTCAGTGAGTCTACAACAGTCTGGGAGATTCCAGTCTCCACCGTTTTATCCCCGATGGCAGTGGAAGCCCGAGCCCGTGAATATCGCGGCACTCTTGTGATCTCTCCATTGGCAGCCTTCCCACTCAAGTACTCATCACGGATGCTGTCCACTTTTTCCTTGTCATGTCTTGGTGGTCTTGTGTAGCGAGACGGCACAGATTCCCCAATGCCAGAGCCCTCTTTTGCCCTGCTCCCGTACCCCCGCTCCCCACTCCCTCTTTTAGGAGCGTCGCTCAATGATGTTTCCGTGGCGTGCAGCCCATATCTACTGCTGGCCCTCCCAGTGGAGGTATCATGGGAGTTTTCATTGCGCTTGACCTGAGATCTTCCAGACATCTCTGGCTCGGAATCAGTACTGTGGAAGGAGTAGCGCTTCTCGAGAAATCTGGAAAATTTTTCTGCCGATGTTTCACATTTAGATGGCTTCGGCGCGCTGTATCTTTTCCTGAGTTTGGCAACTGGGGGAAAAAAATCCACATTCAATGTTGACAGCTACATGTTTGGTACCAGTACATTACAGCATAAAAAGATTAAAAACCAACCAATCAGTCTAAAATGGAGCGATCAATATATCAGGATACTGAATCATGCAATTTAGTAATCAACTTGGGTTTGGCATCACCAAACAGGACTATCTGAATTAAGCTACATGTACACTACCGGTATATGTACAAGTTTATAAGCAGACAAGCACATATGTGGACATGTATGCGTACCAGGTACCAGGGATACTTCTAAGCCTATTTTCCTCAAATGCTAAAAATAGATGGACGTCTCCTTGAGAATTTCTCAATTGCTCATTATCTTGAGCTACTTTCTGCCATGCCACACTGCAAAAGTTTTCTATTCTCATGACCACACCCTTTACTAGGCCTCTGGAAACATCTGTTCTCAGGAGCTGACATACTGATCAACGAATGAGCTAGTAGATGAAAAAACAGGCCTCATGCAGACACCAGACATCCTGTTTCCTTCTCTCCACCTCAGGGTCTCAAATTGAAAGTCACTCTGAACAGTCAAAGGCAGGCCGGTTCCCCTCAAAACACAGGCGAGGCTTGAGCTGGAGACCCCTGATTGAGACTAAGAGTAGTAACTGCCTTGGCCCCTGATGGCCTGATTGTAACAGGGACCATGCTGCCTCTGTCAATACTCCATGACCTTCTTGGAGTCTGTGGTCTCAGGGTTGTAATGTGTGTACCAGCTCGTCTTCGCAGACAGCGAATTGTGTCACCGGTGACTAAGAGCAATCCAGTTGCATGCTTGAAGGATGATGGAATGCACTGATATGCGTACATCATCAGACAGGTTCAAAGATGCATGTATAATGAACATGCTAGTGTCAGAGTGTTTGTGTATATTCATACGTGTACATAATTTTCGGGAGCACTTTGTAAATGAAATCATCCATGTACATGTAATACACACATGCAGTCGCTAATTCAGTTGAGTCAAAATGAAGAACAAAGTTGCAGTTTTGGTGTACCAGCGGGGGTCCCCAAAGATAATCAGATAATTGAGGAAGCCAACAAGATTGCACATTGCAGAAAGTGATGACATAATCCATGGAGAATAATTCGGGTCAAAGTCCCCAAGGCGACGGACAAAACCAAAGGCAACAAACACAGTCCACCGCATCAACCTGTCCTCAGACGAAATCTGATGTCTTTAAAATAGTCTGATTCTGATCACACCGGGTACATGTTAGATTGCTTTCATGTGCATGAATGTATGTGTGTAAATTGATTGGAGATTGTATGCTAGTTTTGGAATCACTCTGGACGGATAAATTTTCCCATTTCTGCACATACATACATGTACAACAATGGGGTGTAGACACAGTATGAACATGGGAGTATGGTATTCATATACTGTATGGTACAAGTTTCGTTTACATTGTACCAATGATTTCAGGAAGTGGTTCCAAATTATGGTTCCAGGTGTAGGTACTGTATCCATAACCACTTACACATATTAAAATCACCAAATCACTTCGTACATGTAACTCTTTAACCGAAAAAAAAAAAAACCCAAGTTTTTGTTGGGAAATTACATGCTATGATGTCACACGTACATGTACACATGTATGTCCAAAACTTGTTGGTGCTTTGGGCAAGACAAACTGACAGAAATTAAAATTTTCCACGTTACCATGTTCCAATAGCTTTTTTTCTTATTTTGTTCTTTGAAGGTTTAGATTGGGTGTTTACAGGTTCTGGATACTCACATTTTACTTCTAGACCATACTCAGTTACTGTAAAATTACCGACAAATGTATAGCACTAATCTACAATGAACATGTCATGTACATGTACACATCTAAATCACTGCTGACTGAAAAGTTATCTTCTTCCTGCAGTTTTAAAGATGGCCACAGGGTGCATCTTTAAACTGACTGTAACAAACATGTGTTACACATGACGTACATGTATGTACATACCTGGACGGACTGTTTTGCTGAGTTTCCCCTTGCTCAGAGTGCTTGATTTGACCGACGAACCGGTATCAGATGAGATGCCTTCGGACTCTCTGTAACAATTTAAAATTGCAGATACAATGTACATGCGTTGCTGCTTTTATTAATTCTTTGTTCCTCCAACTTTCATATACTCCTGCATTTGGGGTGGGTCCAAATTCAGTGCACTTTTCCAATATCTATGTTTCTCTGTTGATGAACACAAGTTGTGACTATCCCCGCAGATGTACATGTCCATGTACGTAGCGGTACATATACATGTACATGTACATGTAAGATTACAGCAGTGCCATACATTACCCAGTATTCTAGTGTAAAGTCTGAAAAAGGCAACAAACCAAACATATACGCACATATCAGAACAAGTATTTTCTAGTGATACGAGAGGAAAGCGGGTACCGGTACATGAACCTGAAATGCACACATCTCAGAATAAATGTAATATACCCGGTACATGAGTTAAGAAATAGTTAAATGCTACAAAATGACCTAAAAAGGCAAGCTGTGCAAGTACTGTCAACCAATTACATACACATACATGAACCTCTACTTGTATCAACATTGCAACATGTATTTCAACGCCTCGGAAAAAAGTGCTATATGCATTCTCAAAAAAATTCAATTTTAATGTAAATGGTCCAAGAAGTCTGCCTGTGTTTTTTAAAGGTACGATGTACGGGTAGCCCTTCAAAATGTGGGGAATGGCTCGTGCATGATGACTAGCAGACCGTATCAGTCATGGATAATTGGCCACACATACAAAGTACCGTATCACTGGAATTTAGCCACATGTGTGATTTCCTTTGTCTGAAATCTGTCCAGTGAAAAATTCAGCCAACGCAATAAACCTGTCCCAAGTTCTCCTGATTGCAGTGGAATCTGTGTCAGATGATTATCTCAGGGCCCTCCACGTTTAAACAAACATTTCATGGAAATAACTTGCAAGTGGACTACGTGCAGTACATGGGCTGTTTATGACAAACCCCCCCCCAAACAAAAATTGGATTCAGAAATATAATGTATATATACCGTATAATATGTATATACCGGTACAACAGTCTAGAATAACAAAGCAAGACGACTGCCATACATTTCAGATCATACATTTAATGGACGAGTATTTATAAATTTCCCTCTCAGAAAAATAAACAAAATCTTGAATAATGGACAAAAATTCATACAACTGATGATCAACCGTATTCAGTAGGCTTATACAAACAAAAAGGGTCTTTCTGGGATTGAGCCAATTATGGTAAAAGGAAATTTACTAGTACATACACCAGCTCTGATGCCGAAGGAAACAAGCATCAGAGACTATTGAGATGGTCAGTGTTTAAAAAAAATGTCATGGCTGTGAAAACCCAAAACCAAAATCGCTTTGGCAACCCAAAATACATGTAAATGTACATAAATTGGTTTTGATTGGTAAGCCAGAGCCATCAAAGCACTGAACAAAGTGCAGATGCTGAGAGTTGTCACACATTTCAATCTACAGCTGGACTTGCTATTAACACTGGAAAACTGCCAATCCACTGGTTGATAGATGGAATTTCAGACGAAATCATATTCATGATATCCAAATACAAGTGATGAGGAGGAGGGAGGGAGGGAAACCTCAGACATTCAGATAAATTGGCAGGGCTTGGGAGCGGACCTTGAGGCAGATGTGAATTGTGACGAGGCTGATCAATAATTCAATCACTGGATGATGACAAAAATGCTGCAGGGAGTGCTGGTGTGAACCAGGGCTAAGCTGGAAGATCTGGTACAGCATTGTGTATGTGAAATATTGTGTACCATACATTTTGAAAATTAATATTGGTTATTCAGTCCATGCAAATATAAAGGGAAGTTACTCAATACTCTACCTCCCTTGGGTGAGTGTGAAATGAAATTGATATTGGAGGATTTATCATTGTTAAGGATATTTTTCCATGTTGTGAAAATTTCAGGCTTTTTCAGTTTTAAAAGGGTCAGTACTCAAAGCAGCACTGGAGTTATTTAGAACACTTTGAAAAAGGATAACTACATGTACATGTATAAACCATTGAAATATTTTGTTTCATCTGAGCACAATGACTCATACTGGTACACCTACTGTGCTTACACTAAGATGCTTTCAATTTCAAAATGACAGGGGGGTACATGAAAATTCAAACATGTACGTTCTCCATACACAGCTTTAACCCAAAAATATTCACACTGATACCAGTACATACATCATTTATGATATCTTTGGGCACACGAACTGGTAAAATGCATAAATAAAAAAGAAAACTAAGACGCGCGCTGCAAGGGATAGTCTATATCTGAAATGCTTATATTAACGTACATTCATACATGTACATGTACAGTGTACATGTTCAGGGTACATGTACATGCAACTTACCACTGCTGCTAGTGCCAATAGCATTCAACAATGAGTGGTTTGCCTCAATATATTACTCTGGTCCATGAAGAATGTGCATCTTTATAATTCCCAGTTGTGAGACGAGAAAGCTGAAAACAGTCAACCCCCATTCCCTTCCTGATGGGTTACTGTGGGTGCCAAAACATAACTGAGAAGACGGGTCAACTCTTGTAGGCGTCATAGGGGAGAAATGTACAACGCACACATGCCACACCAAAATACACCGTAGATCATGCAGTCACACAGATGCTCAAATCAGAAGACAGACAGCGTGGGGCAGACTGGCTCGCTAGTCTCCTCAAATGCTGCATCCTGGTTAAACCAATGCTGTAGGTCCGTGACACCATGGCAAATGATTAATGTGGCCTATCAACATTTTATCCACAATGCGGTTACCAACACTGTACGTACATGTACATGTACTTGTGGTACATGTGATCAATCATATACGTACACGTGTGAATAAATTTAACGTATGCAGTACGGTATAATAATGTGAATGTGTATGAAAGAATTTCTTGCAATAACTCAGTTTTATGCATTACTGAAGAAATAATGTCTAGTTCAGCAACTAATGAATTGATCATTGACTGTAATGATTGCAAAACAGAGGCACATGTACATGTACAGTACAACGTACAGGTGAACGCAAACAATCACAGGATTGAAATTGTCAGTGAATATTGAACTTGGCATATTTACATGTATAATACTTGTATAAAAACGCAAAGATCATTATTTGTTACCTGACAATTTTAATCCTGCGACTGAGAAAAATTAGTCCTTTATCAAATTTTTATTTGAAGAAACGGTTCCGAATGAAATGTCCAAAATCAAATCTTTTCATGTTTCAACTTTCACCATTGTTGACCCAAGAGCTGTTTAAAGGTTGGGATATTCACAGAAATAAAGCCGACATTGTAAACCTTTCAAAGGAATGGAATTCATTGGCCTTGGTCGACAAACAAATCATTTTGCTTGATCACAAATATGCAAGTACAGGTACATGTACGCAAATTCAGCAAGAGACCCTTGGCCAGTCTAACTTGTCATGCTGGTTCCAGTGCAGACATTTGAGTCACCATACATGTAGAACATGAGTCATACAGCAGTGTCGTCATGACGATGCCGAGCATTTCTGCACGCTGCATTTCAGGTTGATTCATCCACATCATCTCAACCAAAACACACTTTTGGAGTGTTTACAACCAAAGAATGTAAATTTCTGGAAGCATGGCTGTCAGAATAATGAACAGCCTCCATCGGAGACTGGAAAATATTTGGAGAAAATTGCTACAATAAAAACAAGTAGTAATTAATGTGCTGTGTCAAATTTCAATTTAAATGGATGACTCAGTGCAAGTCAAACCATCAGTTTGAAACGTTCGAAGCAGTAAGATTTAATGTTGCGGAACTTTTCCATACATTCTTACAACTGCATGAATACATGTACATTATATGCACCGGTACATACATATACATGTACTGTACGCTTTCAAAGATGGTTTCTTGCCTACATGTACATGAATGTAAATTAGTATTTGCAACCAATCAGGCTAATCCTGGCACACACTGCATGTATGTAAACGTAAGCAAAAAGTACAGAGTGATAATTATGAAAACATAAATTACAAGCAAATGTCCATCACCCAGAAGCGAGAGGTTGTGAGATCGAATCCGGGCTTTGAAAGATTCCATTTTAGATTTTTTTCAAAAAATCTTTAAAACCTTGCAAATCAACTTGTTCTTTCATTAATACAGTACATAAATAAACATGTCATAATTATGAGATTAACAGTAGCCTTAGATCAAGAACATGTACATGAATACATGGCATTCAGGAAAGTTGAATTTCAATGGAAGATAGTGCTTAGTGTTTTCCAGTTTGTATTTTATATTTGAACAAAACGTACATGTAAAGATATGAAAAGGAAAACACCAAGAGATCAGGCTTTCCTATTTACAATGCACATAGTGTACAATATTCCTAAAACATTAACATTTTATTTTTTATGCATGTACCCTTTTTAAAAATTTCTCACGAAATCCATCATCCTGTTCACTTGAAATTAACAGCAAAATGATTTGGATTCTAGGCACAATACGCAGCTGCATGTAGTGTGAGATGCCAGTGGCATCATTAGGCATCAACACCACATCAATCTGGCTCTTTACTGATGATGATGTCTCACATATAACTAGCACATGCACTTTTGATGCAACGTTTTGTTTCAAGGGCCGTAAAACAAAAAAAAAAGAGCCAACTGTTATTTAGCATTTTGTAATTGGATAACTGTTTTCCCACTACTAGAAATGATGGCCCCTACTTCAGAATATGATGTAAAGAAATACATGTGCAATCTCACTGTAAATTCATTCCCCATCCTTCTCATGTTTGAGTCCTCGGGTACACAAACTGTACACAAACTGGTCATGTACACTGTCCAGTGTATGATACTGTTCATTCACAATTTCAAAGCAGAACACAGACATCGTTGGAAGAAGTTTTCGCAATGCATCATTTATGCCCCACCACTTCCATGTTGGGACAGTAGCGTCTAGGAATCCTCCACCACCAACACGCACACGACATTGAACTGATGTCAGTCATACGAGCCACATGGTTTATGAGGCAATCTTGAAACTCTATCCGACTGTTTAGACGGGTACCGGCTAGTGCCAATTAAGATTAGCTTTCAAAAAGAACACTGCTGCAGGCTAAAATGTGAACATATCTTACTGGTAATTTGAAACATTACAAATGCACATATACAGTAGCCAATGTATATCATGATAATCATCAAATTTGTGCCCACGCGGCCAACTCTTTTCAACAAAATCCAGTCTGGCATACAAGTACACATGACCTGGTAAAAACGTAATGCAAAGGTTCATTTTCCAAGAGTTTTTCTTGTTCAAGGGGATTTCATACTAGTTCATGTTTTTTCTAGGCATACATGTACATACCTCTCTTCTTCGTAGGATTCTTGTGATGAGTGCCGATACCTTGTGTGTGCAATGGCAGAATTAAGACTTTGGTCTGGGATATCTACAAGAACCGGCAAGTCTACAAAAATAGAGTTTGAAAAATAAGGAGAATATGAAGTATGATTTATAGGAATACTATGCAACAGGTTCTTAAAATGAGAACTTACATTTTACTCCAGGAATCCTTGGAGTCATCTTTTTTTTTTCTTTCTTTCATCATCTTTACACAGGTACAAAACATACTGCTTTCCTCTGACACACCCCCAAAAGAGTAAATAAAGATAAAGCTGGTTGTTATTTGTCACTGTTTACAGTCTAAGGAAAACATACTAAAACGCTGTTGACCCCTCCCCCTGAGTATCATATGTTAAATACACTCAATAAAGAAAACCAATATGGATGATCCTTTACTGTATCTTACAAAATTCTTTGCTAATGCTATGCAGGAATGTGATGGCACACTTTGTACCTAAATGTAAACTTGCCTTTATTAGGCTCTACCTTAATTCACAAATTTAAAATTTACATAGAGAACGATGACACATTCTGTTTCCAAACCTTGGCACAACTCAAAAAGTTACATGCACATCCGAGTATATGTCACAATGTTTTCTTCTTAAAACTCATGATAATTTATGTATGCATATTTTTGTATGTAATTATGCAATCCGAATCTCAATTCATTCAATATGTACACAACTGTCATACAGTCCAAAATATCAGACATCCTGTGTCTTTAAACAAAAATTCTGCAAACCTGTGAGTAGAATTTACATGTACACAAACTACAAGTAATGTGCAAGACTAAAAGACGGTGCTGAAAACAAGACCTAAAGGACATCCTCTTACATGTTCATGTAATTAATGCATGCTTTTCACCTAAGTGTACATGTACCTCTGACAAGCACATGCAACACTTTGAGCCTACTGGTACATCTGTATATGCACCGGTACCCCTAGTGGAGCAGGCACGCAATATGACAAGTAATATTTTAAGAACTGGTACTCTCACAAAAATAAATGCACTGCATGTTTGAAAAACTGCTGTGCAGTATACAGGGTAGTTGTTTGTTTTCTGATTGTTATATTAGCCTCTATCTCAGGTTCCACCCGCATCATCAATCCCGCCAGCTGGCAAGTTACATTACATGTACCGGTATACAGTGCCTAACCAAAATATCAAATTCTGATATTGCAATGACAAGCCATTATTAGTAGATGTAACAACTGGCAGTTGCTGTTACACGGAGCTCGACACTTGAAACCACTAGCGTGACACTGCATGTGCAACACTGGATTTTAATGCCTGCTCCGATTCAAGAAAGTTTGACAGAGCAGTGGCACTGAGCAGGATGTTGGGAATACCGTAGATCACTTACCGTACCTTGGGTGTTGTCTCAACAAGTGGATGTGTATTGGTATACTGTAATTCCGGTAGGTTCTTCAAACACAAAGCAAAATTCCTTCCTCACATGTAGGTAGAACACTACTGTTATATTAATACGTTCACCGGTCACTGCAATAATTGCATAAACACATGTACATGTACAGCACAGCATTTGCAGTCAGCAACCCATGATTATGCATGGAGCTTCAGAGTTCATTGCTATTAATGTAAACTAATTGCAGTCACTCAGCGCCACCTGCAAACACCGTTCAACATAATTCACGTCCACTGGGATGAACTTTGGTTTTTAGTACCAGTGCATGTACTAACAGCTGCATAGGTACGGACAAAGTTTTCATACCAAGCAGCTCATATAGAGTTGAACAGTGCATCTCTTCCTACACAAAAGTACAAAACAACACTTGGCATGGCCAAAATGGATATCGGTGAACAAAAAAGGTTCGGGGAAAGTTCAATGGTGTTGAGCTTTACATCCTGGGCAACGGAATGCCATTTCCTGTCGGTATAACAATGTTGTTCAACCACAAATCAAGGGCATGCATTGTACATGCATCATCACCACATAATGAAACTATTCAAACCCACACCTCTGACACCAACCACATCAATCCCTCCACAACACTGACTGTACAATCAAGGCACGAAGCCTCGGTCAATGCCCCCTTTTCAATTTTAGAAAAGACTTCCCAATTAATTTCTAAAGCTCATCCCAAAAGTTACAACGACTGACATCTTCTGATCACTGTGACAGCACTGCAAATTCAGGGAAAACACAGAATACAGTTCAATACCCAGTCCAGATTACAATGACGAAAGTAAATTATTGCTTTTCAAATTCTCAGAAATTATCTTCAAAGAAGAGAAAATTTCAATTTCAAGTGATCAGCAAAGTTTGTTGAATACAGTATGTCATTTCAGATAAATAAATTACCAAAAAAAGGTAAGACTAGAACTAAAATCAAATTTTGCCAAAGCCCTATAGGATTGAAAAAAAAAAAGGCTAAAATGTTGAGAGCACCGGTAAAACAAAAAGTGCCCCCTACTGCAGCAACCCTCAAGCCAATCCACAACCCCCCGCCCATCTTGCAAAGCTCCTAACTCCAACTGGGACAAAACCTTTTTTGGAACAGCAACAAACTCGATTTTTAAGTTGTGTGGCCATGTGTTACATAACAGACTACTTTGTAAAAAAGTGTGAAAGCTTTTGAATTAACCCAGACAGCCCAGGTGAAATCTGCACAATCACATTCACCACTCGATTTAAGTAACAATACTTCAATGGGACTGTGCCAAATGCATGGATTTTAAACCTGATGGCAAGCCTTGTACTGTACATGTACATGTCAATACTGCCTAAAGGTACACAAGCGACTTGAAGATTATGCCTTCATATACAGGTACATGTACCTGTATGGTCCGTCTACATCTTTGGTGCATTTACAAACATATTTCCAAAGAATCATGAATTCAATTTTTTCTCAAACACACTTTTTGTGCACTTTTACACTCAACTTCAACCTATGAAAATTATTTGACATCCAATACTAAAACGTACGCTGAGGGCGCTACGACCATGGCATGATGTCAGTCGGGAAAGACCCTACAGTATTCAAATCATGTTTTTCTGTGCAAATTGTGAATCAAAAATTTGTTTAATGAAAATATTTTCAAGAAAGGATTGCTCGTTGGTTTCTTGTCATGTGCTTATGAAAGTTACGGGTACATCAATAACAGATCACTGAAGACGAGGAAATTTAGTACAGCAAGTCAACACAAATTGTCAGTTTTCTATCTGGGATGACATCACAGTTTGGTCCTGAATATGGAAATTTGCATAAAAAAGCACAAAAAATTAAACTGCCCCTAAAACTGTAAAACAGAAATTTCAAGCAAAGTTAACTGCAAGGGTTAGAGATATAAGTACTTGTACTGAACGAGCCTTTTGTTTTATGTTGTATTAAATGGACTCTGCCCTACAAAAAAAAGGGCCCAATAAATGTTGAAATGTTGTATTTATTGTTGTATTCATTTATTTTCTATCAGTATAATAATTTTGGTTCCTCAAAAGTACTACTCCATCCAGTTTCAGAGTTTGAGCTCGTGAAGGGGTAAAATGGGGATTTTGTCTGAAATGACCAAACATTTCATAGTTTTTCATTCATACAAGAATTCCCTTTTGCCAAACTAAGTTGCTAATTTACTGTTTCTAGAAGGCAGGCTGGCACTTTCAATCATTTAATTATCATTGCTCAAATACATATTTTTTAATCACTGTGGATGGAGGGTCTGAAGAAACATACCTAGAGAAGACAAAGTAAAAATGTCAACTTTAGTGGTTGGAGAAAAAGTAAACCCCTGGAAAAACATTTTTAAATAAACCAATTTGAATCAGGTATCGCTGCCATGCAGTATCTGTCAGCCTGGATGGGATACGAACCAGAGGTCTAAAGGCTGATGGTACCACTATGCCAACCTGACTCCAAATTAACAAATTGCAGCAATGGTACAAGTACAGTGCCCAACACATGACAGGCAGTTGATGAGGATAAATTTACAAGTTCTGTGAGCCTGAGGCCCACAAGTAATATTTGTTGAAATGTAACCATTTCAAGGAGATGTTTCAGTTTTTATGAAAAACAAAGTTTGAAATGGCTTTTTTTAAAGAAAGTATTGGCTGGAAGTTGTTTCCATCAATCATAATGTACAAGAAGTTAGACTACGGGCTTACATTTACATGTAGGTACACATGTATGATGGAGAGTACACGTACATGTGTACATGTAGCTACACTGCATGTTTGTATAGGCTGGCAGGTTTGTTATCAAAAGGAATGAAAGGCATGATCCTTTCAACCTTTTATGACAGTCTCGGGTTGACGGTATCCGTACAAGTACGGTACTTTGATGCTAAACCAAAGGTGGCCGTCCCTGGTTCCATATGTTGTCAGTTTTCCTACATGTACCTGAATTTTTCTGCACAATTTCCAAAGATCACTACATGTACATACATGTACATGTGGTACACATACATGTACAAGTATGTATTCATTCGTATAAGTTATTTGCACCTCAGTTGTTTCTGTGTTGATGGCATTCTTTTTTCCATCTCTGCAAGGGCAGATCAAGGCGGGGCAACAGGGGCCATGCCTCCCCCCCCAAAAAAGGAGCAAAACACTTTCTTTTCTTTTTTGATAATGAGAGAAAGGTGATTTGGGGGTATATTTCCTTTTTCTTTCTTCTTAAACTGTGTAAAAAAGCACTAAAATATAGCTTCAACCTTCAGGAAAGCCATCAAATCTAAGAAAACAATTTTGGCCCCTCCCTGGAAATTTAGTTCTGGATCCATCCTTGAATAATTAGAGTGATGTAAATGAAAACCTGACTTCATTGGCCTTAATGGCTCATGACAGGGCTGTCTTACTACACTTATACTCTTCAATGCTCTTCAAGGTCTACTTCTACTCAGCCCGAGGTTTTGAACTTGAAGGATGTTGGGGGAACTTGGGTAATGTTATGTCTAGCCACAGTAATGAACTAGTTCCAAGGGTTGATTTGCACTGGGGAGATGTTAATTAATTTTGGCTGTTTTGTCCTGCCTGTAGTGTATTATAACACTGTATACTCAGTGTTTGCCCCTCCCCTAGGCTTGTGAAAAAAAAATGAATAAATAAT